CTAAAATCAAAACCCTAATGTTTCAAAAACCCTTTGCGGTTTCGTAAAAAGAAATAATTTTATCTTTGTGAGAACAGTGTGGTGTGGTCGAGAATTGAGAAGTAGAATCCCAAAATCAAAACCCTTATGTCTCAAAAACCCTTTCTGGATTCGAACAAAAAAAGAGAAATTTACATTTGTAAGAACAGTGTGGTGTGGATGTGGAGGAGAGCGCTTCGATTTCCTCAATTTATTAAAAGCTTAATTCATGAAATTTATCGAATTTGACAGAGAAATAAAAATAAAATAATGTTGAGAAGAAACATTTGGAGAAGAACCAGTTGTGATTTATTAAAAGATAACAAAAAAATAATTTTGAAATTTAATTATTATTTTGTTATTTTTTGTTATCACAACTGGTTCTTCTCCAAACGTTTCTTCTCAAAATTATTTTATTTTTAGTTTCCTGTCAAATTCGATAAATTTCATGAATTAAGCTTTTAATAAATTGGAAAAATCGAAACGCTCTGCTCCACACCCACACCACACTATTCTCACAAAGGTAAATTTCTCTTTTTGTTCGAATCCACAGTGTTTTTGGGACGTAAGGGTTTTGATTTTGGGATTCTACTTCTTAATTCTCGACCACACCACACTGTTTTCACAAAAATATTTTTTTTTTGTTCGAATCCACAAAGGGTTTTTGAAACATTATGGTTTTGATTTTGGGATTCTACTTCCCAATTCTCGATTTCATTTGCTGATATTGATATTGATCTTCTCTACTTCTCAAAACTCTCTTTTTGTTCGATTTCAGTTTGGTTTGGTATTTTTCTTTTCTTCTTCCTGTTAGTTTTCTAGTATGTTATTCAAACTAATACGACCATCAGATCTTTAATTGGTGTTTGTTTGTACTTTGACTGTGGCAAATGTCTGATGTCACTCGAACACCTCTACAATTGCCAGTTCCAACTAGATACAAGATTAGAGAAGAGGCCGATGACATCAAATTACACTCAATCAATAACTATTCATCATTTCTTTACGTAAATGAGGTTTGACAGATACTTGGTGCCTTAATCTGTCGGTTTGAAAACACATTCCTTGGTCCTATCATCAAAGCGGGTTCACAGAGAGCAGGTGGTGCACAAAAAGAAGATGGATTGGGTTTTTCTGCACAACTGATTCATTTTTCGCTATCAAGACAAATTAATACAATACG